ATATACTGATGACGCTCGTAAATGATCGCATATTGTTAATTCATAGCTCTGATCCTTCGACGTATTTGGCACCTTTTTTTCAGCTCTTCCAAGTCTTTCTTATTGAAATATTTTAGATTCCAACGTTTTGGCTTGAGCATCACTGAAGAGACATTATTGTTGAAATGCGCATCTGGTGCATCAAAATTGGAACGGTATATTATTTACATTATGATCCCTGGTCTGGGTCGAGGCATCTGCTGGTTGACTGTAAGTCACCGAGGGTCTCTACACCTCCGTAATTTAGTACTTCGGTACTAGCTTGAAAATACGGATATATATTTAATTGCTGTGGTAAAATTTAGAATTTATTTCAAAATTAAGGATTATCTCTCTCATGCATAGCTCTAATCCTTCGACGTATTTGGCTCCAGTTTTAGGCACCCTTTTCAGCTCTTCTAAGTCTTTATTATTTAAATATTTTGGATTTCCAACGTTTCGGCTTGAGCATCACTGAAGAGACATTATTGTTGAAATGCGCATCTGGTGCATCAAAATTGAAACGGTATGTTATTTACATTATGATCCTAAGGTCGAGGCATCTGCTAGTTGACTGTTAGTCACAGAGGGTCTCTACAACCCCGTAATCTAGTACTTCGGTACTAGCTTGAAAATACGGATATATAATTAATTGCTGTGGTAGAATTTAGAATTTATTTCAAAATTAAGGATTATCTCCCTCTTGCATAGCTCTAATCCTTCGACGCATTTGGCTTCAGTCTTAGGCACATTTTTCAGCTCTTCTAAGTCTTTATTATTTAAATATTTTGGATTTCCAACGTTTCGGCTTGAGCATCACTGAAGAGACATAATTTGTTGAAATACGCATCTGGTGCATCAAAATTGGTACGGTGTATAATATACATGGTTTCGAAAATAAAAAAATGTACTCAAATATGGTCTAAATGTGAATATTTTAGCATACACCTAGCAGTGTTGCATATAAAAGAAAACATAGCGTGTTTCCACGAATGGTTAATTAAAAAAAATCAAAACCATATTTTTGACGCTCAATGGTGTGTATTGCTTTATATATATATATATATATATATATATATATATATATATATATATATATATATATATATATATATATATATATAAGATTTATTAAATCATGGTCTATATCAAAATAATTTAATTTCGTTTGTATTCTAGCCTCTGATTGGTTAATATCCAAAAAGGAACACAAATTATTTCTGTATAACCTGGTTTGGTATGGGGACACCCCCCCCCCCCCCGACAACCAGCTGAATCATCTGTATCCATACAATCCTCTCATTTCCAGTCCTCGGGATTCATGGAAAATTCCAGATTTAATAAATGTACCTTTAACTTCAAACAACAATTCGATCTTACCACATGCAAACAAACAACATGGCTGCTAGGCCTATGTATCAGTTTTTACCTCCCCTCCCTTCCCATCACTTCCATTACTAAAGTTGTATTATTGAGCGGCAAATTTGAACTAATGAAAAGCAACGAAATTTTAAACCCCTAGTTATTTAATGATTTTAAAATTAAATTATAAGGAATGACTCTAATTCTTGGCCAAATTATTCGAGTATAACCTGGTTTGGGTCAGTTTACGCTGTTTTATAATCCGCTTCGCGGATTATAAAGCGTAAACTGACCCAAACCAGGTTATACTCGAATAATTTGGCCAAGAATTAGAGTCATTCCTAAAATATAGCAGAACAGAGTTTTGACGCTGTTTTCGGAGATAAAGGAAATAAAGACAAGCATACATGCATGGTAGTTGCATAAATTATCGTAGAAGACAAAAGTGTAAATGACTACGATTCTTGGGAAGGGGTACTCTATGTAATTCGGAGTTGGATATCTTGTCTTATCATTATACTATGGGTAAAAAAATTATTACAGAAACAAGAGTTTGTGCTTTACACACCTCTTTGAATTCACTGAACATACATGTTACATTTATTTTAAAATTCCCAATTAATTAGGTGTAGCTAAGTGCCTGTAAGAAGCCCATCTATTTTAATTATATGTAAGGTTACAAAAATACTTCTCTCGTGCAGAGAATAATGTATTAAAACATATAAAGCATAACCGGCATATAAACACAGATTACATATACTAAATTTTATAGCCATTACTGTTGTAACGGCCTATTCATTGCTAGTTTGGTATGGACAGGAAATCAATTCACACAATAAAATTCTTGTAAACAAATTACAACTTCTGATTCGATTTCCTTAAAAGGTGAGAAATGGAAAATAAATAAGATGATATTGTTTGATGAAATGTTATGTCAAAACATTGCATTATCTAAAAAAAAAAATTACATCATAAAAAAATATCGCTTAAATAAAGTCATTAGAAACATTTACTCAATATAGAGTGTATGTCAAATAAATTTAAACAAAACAAATAACCTGTTAAAAGCTTTCGGTGTAAAGTTATATGTAGCTGTTTGACGTTCTATCTTAATGTAATATTTTACAATAAATAGTTTAAACATAACAGTACATTCGACACTTTCAAACTTTCCCAGATTTACACATGGCCGCAAAAAAGAGGCCAAAATATGCGATCCTCTCCCATTTTGGCCGTGGTTATATTTCTTAGTCCATTAAAAAATATTGACCATACGAGTAAAGCATGAACTTTGACGCAAACTTTCAATACCCAATCACAGTTCACATATTTATTGTATATTGTTAATTGCAATACGAATAGAAACAGTTTTTATTGGTTTAACAGACGTCCCACATCAGAGGCGTGATTATAAAAGATTACGAGACTTTAAGCAGCCACGGGTAGGAGAGAGCTATTTATAAAAATCCGGAGTATGGTTTAAAACGGTGGGACCTTTCATTGCTGGATTCGAAAGCTGTGTTTGAATTGTTAGAAGGAGGTATGAAATACTGTTCGATGATATAATATACATGATTAATGTAGATGTTTTTCATATTAATTACTAGTATATGAAATATTTTGACAGTTTTCGTCTGATATGATATTTTTTAAAATTCACAATGGAATAAACAAATACAAAATCAGACTGTTTCACGTTTATTCTGTTGGTGTGATTGGCGGGTTTTATAAATGGCAGAACTATAAAATCCTTTGTTTTAATTTCAGAACACGGCATGGTGTCCACGTTTAGGATAGTTGGTATGATACACTGTATCTACAAAGTATAACATCTATTCTAAATCGCGACCACTTCCCATTGAAATATTTCACAGCGATTTTCCTTCGATCTTTTATGCTTTTTTTACTACTTTATTTATTAATATGCCTATCAAACACAAAACCAAAACGTGATGAAAAGAAGCCCTCATGGTGTGTGGTTGGATATATGATTTTTATCCAACCTGCAAAGGTTCAGGGATAAAAAAGCGCAACTCGTTGGATAAAATCATATTCAACCCATGAGAGATTCTTTATGTAAAAAGGTATGGGGTCCTGACACACTTCTTGTTTGAATATCTGCAATATTTACGAATGTTTTTTCTTCTTCTTCACTTGGGTAAGAGACGGAATATTCTTATGTATGTTAAACTGTGAGCTTGATATGTTCATTTATAGTGGAGGGCTAAAAATAAAATATACTAGTACATTGTATTTCATTTCTACAGCTTTACGTAGAAAGAAGTTCATTAGAATTTCAGTTTAACACACCGACTGACTTGTAATGGTTTATGAATTTAGTCCAGAATATAGTACAATGTATTTTATTCAGGTTACTGGTCCATGTAGGCTAATATGTATAAGCCTTTTGTTACTCATTAATAAATTATAATTATGTACAATATGTACCTGTTTGATTTTTGCTGATATTCATTAAATTTATCTCATTTTATGAAAGGATTCATATCTTTTAAAGTACTTACATTATTTTTCAACAGCTGTAATGACCATAGTATTGAGCCTTTCACAGATCGGAACACCTTGTCCTTGTTCCTATGGAGGCACGTGTCATTACAGTATATACTGTGTCTGTACTATAGGCTTTTATGATGGACACTGTACGAGTAGTAAGAACTCATTGATTTACTTAGCAATATAAAGTCTGAAAACTGTATAAAATATAATTATTATTCTCTTTCGAAATGTATATATTTTTGCCTTTATAATTACTTTCTCAAATTTACTGAAATCAATTTGTGAGGAGATGGTTTCTTTGTATCATTACGTATATCATAAAGAACTCCTTTTCATAAAAATGTATTCTTTCGCAAAAATACTAAATTATTTGAGAGAGAAATATAAAAAAGAAAATTTAATTGATTCTGATTTACAAAAAATACTTCAGATGCTATGATACCCCTAAAGCAGTCAGTGGCCAATGATAATTTTACTCTGACACAAGCTGAAAACTACATGAAAAATGCCCATGAAATAATTCGGGATCATCTGGCAAATAATTATCAGCTGTCAACGTCTATTGCAAGTATTTCATTACATTTGATTTTAGTGCTTAAATATTACATATTTTAATCTATCTATGCATGTACTTGTAAACCTTGTAAAACTGGTTCATGAATTACTTAAAATATGATAGATATAAAAATTATACTTAGTATTTTATAATATATAATTTAATACGTATAAATAAATAACTCTTTTTTAAATTATTAGTATTATTTAGCCTGTATTGGTACCTTAGTTGTTGAGCAAATGGATGAGAAATATCAAAGCATTCAATATGAGGACCTGTTACCCCTAACGAGAGGTAGGCCTACTAATTTTTAAAAAATGGCAGTATGGATTGGTAAAGCGTGTACTGCTACATGTACATAATTCACAATAAGTATTGACTTGTCTGTAATAAATAACAGTTTCTGAAAGGCAAATATCAAAAGAAAAATAAACAAAACAGTAATTTAGAAATCAAGAAGGGTTCTTCCAAATGCACGATTGTTATGAACTTGAACTGTAGTCAATATAGGGTCAATTATGTAGTGGAATATAATTTCTTTATCGTAGAAATGGCAGCCAGTATAAGTTTTGTTATATCTGTTCTGGATGCAGAGGGATGCCAGATACACACACCTGTAGTGGATTGTAAAAACACGACGGAAAATGCAAGCTTACACCATCATTCATTTTTTTTCAAATACATATTGTCTGTAGGAATTGTTTAAAGGATTTGTCAGATTTCAATTTTTTTCATCATTAGCATGGTTAATCTTACTATAATGTACATTTACAAATAACATACAGCATTGGTCAACATTCTAGACTTTAGTAAGAGCTATTAACTTTGATAATTGTAAGACACATCACCGTTGGCTTTCTGTATTCTTCGTAAAATTTTTGAAATCAATTGTAAAAAAATACCTTTTGAAGGGATAATTCAAATATTTTGATAAAGGCAAAGTTGGCTTGATATGTTAATACAGAGGAAATTCTTCATTAGGTTATATACTTAATGTTTTTAAGTGCACCTATTTAATCGAAAGAACTGAGGCTAACCTAGTGAAAGTGACAAACTTATACCTGGGCTCTGCTTTTGGAGAAGGTGATTTCGTTAGCATCGATGAGCGTCCAGATGATCCAATATTATCCTTAACTGTCATAAAAACTACTGGAACAAACGCACCATTCGTCTATACAGCACGATACGGATCACTGGAATTACCCTATTGGGGTACCCTCCAATCCCATATTGGTTATAATCTGATAGCCATCAATGCAAGTCAAATCTCTAAATACAAATATCTGTTGATGCAATGAAAATTCAAGTAGTAATTTCATCTAAATATACATGTAAGTATTTATGATTCAGAAAGAGCCATTTTCTTCTCTTATATATATCAGGTACTGACATACAAAAATAATCCATACAAATATTCTACGAATGCTGCAAACATTACCTCCTCTGTTGTGAGAATTGTAATCACTGACAGAAGAGGAAATGACGTCAGATTGTATGATCTACAGGATCAGTTAACCACTACAATGGACCTCAGTCAGGTGCGCTACGTTAACGGCTTTGATTCATTTTGATTGACTTGCATTTGTCTCTCTCTCTCTCTCTCTCTGTGTGTGTTCTATCATTAAAAGCATGCACGTGGTTACTCCAAGAAAAATGACTTCTCAAAATGCTACTCAGACAGATAGATGAACAATCCAAAACTATTATATAAATTTATTGTTCACTGAAAAGAAACTTACACTAAACATATCCAATACTTACCAGGTCTTATCTAGAACCACTGAATGGATAGACATGACACACAACGGGGATGACTGGAAGCTAGTGGCACATACAAATTTATCGGTAGAGGCAATGGTTGTCGACATAAAGCTGAAAAGTCGGTATGACTGTACTCTGTATGGACTGTTTGGCTGGACGGGATATCCCTCAAGTGCCACCTATAATATTAAGGTGGTCACCCGAGGTGACAACAAGATTATCAGCCAGAGTCCCTGGAATCTACCTTTATTCTACAAAGACAGAGAACTTCAAATTACAATTTATAACACCGAGTTTATTGATGGAGGGTTTATACCACCTTTATTGATGACTGTGAAGTGTCAAGGTAAGAATGTATAAATATTTACATTTCCAATGTCTTTGTCCGAGATAAAATTACAAATTGTAAAAATACTTTATTTCTACATAAATCTACTGGTTCATCGATAGGCGCGGTTAAAAAAAAATCACGTGCGGGGCGGGACAAATAGAGACAGAAGCGGGGCTATTAGCACGGGAATTTGCAGAATCAGGAGCATGTAAATATAAGGAATAACTGTCAGATTTTTTGGATTCATGACGATGATCAATCGATTGGCTTGCGTGATAATTTTATGCATAAACGCCTTCGGCGTTTATGCAAATTATCACGCAAGCCACTCGATTGATCACATCATGAATCCAAAAAATAAGACAGTTATTCCTTAATTAAACATTTATTTAAACATTCTAGACTTATGATCTTTACGAGCTCGAGGGTCTTTCAATAAATAATGCAAAATGCGATCTAAAAATAAGAAAAGCACAAGTAGCAGTTTCTTTCTATTTTTAATTATTCAAATTTTCGCCTGTTAACCTTAATACATGTCTAAAGCTTTTATATCCATGGCCTCAGCATGCTCATCTTTAGGGACGCCCAAAAGACACCGATGAATAGCTCTCTCAATGACATACATTAAAATTTAGTCATCTTATGATTGTTTTCTTGAGTTTTCGGAATTAAAAAAAATCTCACAATGACTGATATTTAGCGAATGAGGAGGATGGCTAAGCTCTGTAAACGTTATTTTCTTATAAATTTTGTTTACATCTCCATGCGTTTTTGAAGCAGCGTTGTAAGACACAAAAAAATTAACCCCGGGACCGGTGTTTGGACTTCCCTCACAGAAAAATTATTGATCCTTCCTCAATGCAATTTTAACATAAAAACAACCATTAAATTTCCTTCCTTTTGGTATAGGTTCATGTATTACCACACCTCTGGACTAAAGAAAAAAAAAACTGTATAAGAAATGTATGGAGCTCTTGCTTTTCTTTGCAATAATAAGACCACAGCTTTCTCTCTGGTTCCACTTTTTATTATTGTTCTTTCTTTTTGGCTGTAAAACACGTACCAATGTTTTAACACCAATTACCCAAGTTTACCATACCTTTTGGTAATAATATTTATTTTTTTACTAGACCACTGGCACATTTAACGTATGTTTCCTCTTAGCCATCTTTAAGGAAATAAAGGACCCATCTAATAAAGAAATATTTTTAGATTCATATTTCCTTTGTCAGAAATCTATAAACTGTGATGATGAATTGTTTAGTGTCTTAGCAATGTCTTTCGCTGTAAATGTGGCATTTAGAGATTCCAAGTTGGTCAAAGCAACGACATTTTTGGTGTCCCTACAGATTTTGATCAACCAGTTCAACTGCAATCTTGTAACAATTCATTTCCATTTTAGGATTTCTTAATCCATCTGAACACTGTATAGTTTTACATGTAAGGCTTGACTTTCCAGATATCAAAACCATATCTTTCATATTGGTTCTTCAGCAATTTTTTGTAACAAACCGCAGTTTTTACATACGCCCTTATTTTCATCTTTTTGGCAGATATTATTTTTCAGTTTTCAGCTCAGTGTGGTGATCATGCTTACTTAAAAAATTTTAAAAATGAATTTCTTTGCGAAGAGAGTAGGAAAAAGCATGTGGTTTTTGGTGATTGTGAGATTTTAAATACCTAGGTAGTACTTCTCGGTTGTGAGAAAATAAAATTAATTGCTTCTACATTTATTATGATAAACCGTATGTTGCATTACTTATTGAACGACCCTTGTAAATGATATGACCAAACTTGATAATCACTTTTGAAAGCAATACAGTGGATTTATTGGTCTATGAGAGCTCTTGTCTTCTTATAAGTCGTATAAAAGAATCTTTAACTTATATTGCTTTTAAGCTCCCAAAATTTTAGCATGATATGCCATGATAGCACACTCTTAGGCCTGGGGAAAATATCAGTTCTCTTGATGATTCTCAAGTTTGTTTTTTATAATCATTTTAAGTAAAAAAAAAAAGAAAAGATAAAAAGAGTTTCATGTATATTAATATCCTTTTTCAGATGACGATTTTTCGCGTAACTCACGTAAGTAAATTGTATCTGGTGCATATACATTCTTGTAACTAATGTTTTTGATGTACACAATATGAAGGTAAATGAACATTAAAATAACCCTGAAAAACGACTTTTGTTTTCAAAAATATAATGAAGATTAGCAAACAAATAGAGAAAAAATACGGTGCGACAAATACGTAAAAAATTAGAATCTCACTCATCAAAATTTTCCTTCATATTTCATTTAACATTAACATAATATATTTTATGTAAAATCTCCACAATTTGAAATAATTTCACAGAGATTGAAAATATCCGTCTATGAAATAGCATATACAAAATTAAAGAGGGCGAAACTGATCATTTCTTCATACTATAACACAATTTTTCCATATGAGTGGTTCTTCGCTCCATTTTTCAAAGTTTATCCTTAATGTATTGAAAAAACATACATTTTTCGGTTAACAAAAACATGGAGCAAAGACTCAGTATACCTAAGAAATAAACTTTTATGACACAACATTCATATCTTTCATAGCAATATTTACCGTTCACGGTAGCTCAGTCGCTAGAGCGCTCGCTCCGTGATCGGGTGGTCGTGAGTTCGAATCTCGGCCGCGAAAGACCTACATCGATACAAAATGGGTTAGTACCTCCTTTCAATCTAATTTTTCTGAAGGAATGAAATAAGGAAGAAAAAAAACATCGGAAGAAAAACTAAGCAAGAATTGGTCAATGTGGGAATGGAGGGGGTTGAGGGTAGGGTGGATGCCGATCCCTTCCTAGACAACGTAATATTTGCTTTGAAATGGTCCTTTATCATCGTTTAATTAACTCTTGAGCTTAATGTTTATATCGCAAAAGAGCTTCCGTATAATGCTCTAGTGTAAAAGTAAGTTGTCGTTTGTAAAATTCAGCGCTTCTCGCAAAAGTCCATTAAATACATTTTAGAGAAACTTGGATTTAATTCTACAAGTGGTAATTCAACTTATACTCATAGTTCCCTTTCTAAGGAAGAAATTCTTCAAAATCATATATCAGTTTTGAATATTTTTAATATTCCAAACAACCAAAATGATTTTGAATTACCATACTAGTATCTATATTGGATTCCGAAACTTCATAAAAATCCTTACAAAGACACATAGCGGGTTCCAGTAAATGTTCAACCAAGCCTCTTTCTTTACTCCTCACTAAGATATTAACAGTAGTGAAGGAGAAACTTCAAAAGTACTATGCAACAATATATTCGAGAAGTGGTGTAAATCGGATGTGGATACTTAAAAACTCAAAGGAACTGTTGGAAAATTTGAAATCACAAGATTTTAAAAAAATCAACAGCTTAAAAACTTACGACTTTTCAACTTTATACACAACCATTCCCCACGATAAATTAAAGTCCATGCTTTTTGATATCATTGACAGCTGCTTTTTCAATAAAAATGGAACTCGTAAATTTACTTACCATGCCATTGGTCATTTGCAAAATTATTTTGTTAAAAACATTCTGATTGTACACACAAGAATTTGGAGTTGACATTAAAAAAATGCTTGAGTTTCTGATTGACAATATCTATGTGGTTTTTGGAGACCAGGTCTTCCAACAATCTAGTGGAATTCCCATGGGTACCAATTGCGCCCCGTTATTAGCAGACCTTTTTTTGTAAACATATGAAGCAGAATTTGTCCAAAATCTTGTATGTGAAAAGAAGAAAACAATTGCTGTGGCCTTCAACTCGAAATTTAGATATATCGACGACGTATTGTCAATAAGCAATGGTTATTTCCATTCTTATGTCGATACGATATATCGCAGTGAGCTTGAGATAAAAGATACCACAGAGTCTGACACATCTGTTTCATATTTGGATATTTTACTTGAAAAAGACGTTAATGGTAATCTAACAACCAAACTTTATGATGCACGTGATGACTTTAACTTTTCAATCGTCAACTTCCCTTACTTATGCAGCAATATACCTTCATCACCTGCATGCGGGATCGATTCGATACGCAAGGGCATGCTCTACGTATGTACAATTTCTAAAACGAGGTAAACAAGTTGATGAAACAAGAATATCAGCAGTCTCGTTTAAAATCATCATTTCGTTAGTTCTATGGTCGATACAATGACCTTGTCAGCAAATACAATTTATCATTGAGTCAAATGCTGACTGACGTTTTTCATACTAATTGTAAGGCCATTTTTTACACACTGAATTGTCGACGGATTTTTCCGTTATTTCCCGATCATGACAAGGAGCACACGGCGGGTGTGACTGGTCGGCAGGGGATGCTCACTCCTCCATGGCACCTGATCCCACCTCTGATGTTTTGGAGGTCCGTGTTTGCTCTGCTCCTATTTTGTATTGTTTAATGGACTTTTGAGCTTGAATACTGTTCGTTATCTTCATATATTTCATTTTTATACTTTTGAAACTGTAGGCATTATGCACGCCTTGTTTGCCCTTCTCCTTTATGAAACGTTTACTCTTTTTAATATATTTTTGACACATGTTTAGAAATCCACCAGTTTCGGATCTTGGACCTTGAATCTTACTACCTTGAGAATGATGACTGGAGTAAAAGTAATAAAGCAAAAGTAAGGGACTGCTTTTGTTCGCTATTTTACCCTATTATATTGTTTTAAATGTTATACGATTAAAGTATAAATCATTAAAAAATGATTTTATAAAGTAGCACTGATTGACACCATGGAAGCTCAGTTTTCTGTATGTCTTGAGTTAACTGTATCCAAAAATTAAGTTAAACATACATTACCTTCTGAAAAGTCTTTCCTCAAATAACAGTTGCGCTGTTACACATTTTAAGTAAGACAAATAAAAGCAGGCATTATTTAAAATGACCATCCATTTCCTTTGTAACATATCTTGAAGATTTTTTTAAAGGTGTCTTCCTGCATTTTAAATCCTACCAGTAAGAGTATATACCTATATCTTTGACAGGTGTACAGTGTAGAAGGGACAAATGTAGTGATCAAAAATTCTTTTTTCGGGACATTTGCTGCCAACTCTTTATTTATCCCGCCCAGTCCAATTGATTTTGATAAAATCTTCGACAACTTTCTTGAGCGATTGACCAGCACCCCGCATGTGTTAGTTGCGATTGTCAGTGTGCTGCTTATAACAATACCTGTTACTGTTTTCCTCCGGAGAGCAGATAAAGAGGACCATTACCGGGTAGATATTTGTATCTTTAATCAATAATAAGACATCTTTTAAGAATAAAATGTATTTTCGGGAATTTAGAATACAAAAAAAAGACGATTCATGCATGATCATTAATTTTCTAAATTTTATATCATAATCTTGCAAAGATTTTATCATTACTAGTTTATCAAATAAACATTGGCTTAACATTGCATATTTTACCAAAGGATCCTAGAAGCAGTTTCACTAGTAGGTATATAACTTTTTCAGTGGCAGTACCTTCCTCTTATTGATAACCTTGAGGGAGAAACCTTTATGTATTTTCTCTCAATCTATACGGCGGTGCGATCGTCGCGATTCCTGACGTCTCACTGTTATTTCAATCTTAAAGGTGAAGGGTCAACAACAGGTGACAGAGTTCTAAGTGATGGATGTCGACAGGTGAGAATGTGACTGTGTTTCCCTTTCAACGATATTTGAATATAATATATAATTCTTACAATTTTGCTCGTAGTAATTTTTATCTGAATCAGTCTGTAAATAAATTTTCATTTACTCGAAAAACGAAAATGTGAGCATCACTATTTGTTCCGTCATAAAGTAAGCTTTTGGCTATTTTGTTTTTGTTTGTTTGTTTGGTTTTTTTTTTTGGTTTGTTTGCTTGTTTCTGTAGAACTTTACACGTGGAACATGCTGCAATTTTCTTCTGACAA